CCATCCTCTCATTAACTTATGAGGGAATTCTATTATTTGGCAACCCAGAAGCTGTTTATATACTTCTGCATTGATCAGCTTTCCATAGAGTGCAAAGGAGGAGCAAACCTAAAGCTTTGAAATCAAAACAAGCACGTAAGGAAATACTTCTGCTTTACTGCATCAGCCCTTTTAGCCTGTCACCACAGGTGTATATGGAAAAGGTGGTAGAAGCAATGAAAAGATGACTCTTTCTTGGTGAGATGTAATATTGCCAAATCCAAGGACAATATGAAATAACATCAGATCTATCTCTAGCCTGAAAAGCGAGGAAGTCCCAGTCTCTGAACACATGCCCTTGTTCATTTATCACAGGAGAGTAATGTATTCAATGTGTTAATAATGCTGTTCCCTATTACACTGTTACTAACCCCACTCCCTACAGTTTCCCTATTTTCCACACTCAGACTGACTTCCAAAATGCAGTCTGTTCCTGCCTAAAGCATGGTCTGCTTCAGCTGTAGCCTTCACTCACCTGAAGAGCCACTGTTCACCGTTCTTCATCTAATGAGATGTAATTTTGTGGACATACCTGGGGGTTTTCTCTCTCTTGCTGATTTATTCACAGGCCACTTCAGAACACTAAAAAATTTCTGACAAAGTTCAATTTTTTCCTATTCTTGCACTTGCTCAATCATTTCCCTTTGTGCCAAAATCAACATTATGGATAGACATAAATTTTGCTTATAGTTCTGTTGGCTACTCTCCAAGTAGTCACTTCAGACTCTCTGCAGAGTTAATCATTTCCTGCACAAAGTCGTTGGATAACACTGGATTTGATTCTCACCACAGTAAAATCCTACTAAAACCCTGATTATCCTATTTTCAGTGTCAACATTTGCACAAATAGGAGCATTTGCATTTAAGATGGATGACCAAGAAGAAAAATAAGAAAACTCTTTCACTTAATTTTGTTGTTGCTGGCACAATGCACAGCTGTGACTCCCTGAATTGATGGGTTTAAATTCTATTGGCTTTAAAAATACTTTAAAATCATATATCCTTTTTTTTCTGTGCGCATTTATTTTAGGCCATAATTCATTTAAATATTACCAGATTCTATACAAAACATAAATCCTCAAAGGAACCTCTGATGCTTGATCATGAAGGGAGTGGGGGGAAGAGAGAGCTGTAACAGTTTCTAGGATGTTGGAGATTTAGGTTTAGGTTTCTCATTGGAATTAGGCAGATGGTCCTGTGCCCTGGGCTATATCTGCTCTGCAACTGTATTTCATCTTCATTAGGAGTCCCATTCTGGATCTACAACAACTTCCTAACAAAACTATAGCTGAAAGTAACAAAAGTCTGGAAAAGGTGTTGATTACATCAAATTAATATGTCAAGGTATTTCTTTACCAGGGAGCAAAATACGTCCATTTGTTACCTGTTAAAAAATATATGTGATTTCTAGATAATATATCAGACTGAAATACATTGAAGTACCATTAATATTTCTCCTTGAGTATTCCACATAGAAAAAATTACAACACGCAGGAGATACATCGTAACTCACATCTTCATCTTTTTGGCGTGGCAATGGGCTGTGCAAACAGGCTTGACACTTCAATCCAATTCAGTTAAGTCTGCTGTGCCTGTTAATTCACGTTATGAAACTATGTTCACTATTCAGCCTTTTTTACAAAAGTACATGATACTCTGAGAACCAGAGGAAATTAATGAAGTGGCATGAAAGGTACATGGTACAAAAATGCTTCAGAAGGTGCTCAGAAGGGGAAGAGACTTCACTTCTGGCTTATAATACTGATGATGACCACAAACCAGTCAGCTATGGAAGTGCTCCAGGCCCTTCTGAAGCTGCAGATACCTGCAAGGTAGATGATCTGCTCTGGTTTAACATTATGCAACTGTTTCTTATTATCTAGGAAAAGCTCAGTCAGCGTGATGTAAAGCTTTGCGTATCTGCCTCAGCAACCATGGCTTGGTGAAGGTACAGAATCAACCAAATATCAGAAATAATTATGGTATCTTCTCTGCTATCATTGACTACAAGACATTGCTCAATAAGTTTCTCTGATCATCTGGAAGACAAACAGAGGTTCATGCCAAAAAGAGAATTGCTGAACTGACCCCAGAGCTCTCTTTCCACTGTGATTTTGTATGTGCACAGGTGAGCAAGGATTAAATGGTTTTGAGACCCATGATATCTTCTTAGGAATTGTTATCACCTGTTCTCATTAAATAACAATGTTTTATTGGTAAATATCATTTCAGTAATAAAATAACTTTTGTTTCTCTGCTATTATTTCTTACCCTCTTACCTCAGTTTCTGCAAAGTTCACAATGACGACTTCTTCAAATCCTTCCCTCAATCCATTCTCTGACCTTCCTAAAGGCTGTCTCCACCTGACTACTGTCAAAGTTTTCTGACATCTCAAAACCACTCCACACTGCTTTTTCCTAGAAAGTCTTAGAAAATTTCCAGTTTCTACCCAACAGACAAACACAAATTTCCATCAGTATTGTCTTATCATGCCTCTTTTTGTAGGACTTACTGCTATCCCTAATCTCCAGCTTGTGGCTTTTGCCTACTTTTTAAGCTTTTAGCTTCTAAGTTAAAGTGTGTTGGTTTGGATCTTGGACAGTTTCAAACTCACAGTTGATATTTAGCAAGATAGAAATAACAGTCTGCATTTTTGTTGTATAATTATGGGAAGAATGCACTCAAAAGGTCACAGTCTATAGCCCTGCATCTTAGCTCAAGTCTTCAGCTGCCATAGGTTTGTAGAAGCCAGAATCAGTCTCGCCCAAGAATGGTCTCCCTTCCATGGTACAGTGGTTCACACCGAGTTCCAGACAGGACTCCATCCTGGGGCAGAGAAGCGCCTTTTTCTGAGTATTTCAGCACTTCCTCTTCTGTCTGGAACTTCTAAAGCATCATAAAGAAGGAATGTAGCAGTGGCTGTGAAAGCCTGACTGAAGCTTTTTACCTAAAAATTACTTGCTGTGTCAATGCTAGCTGGATTTGCTGCTTTCCTAACAGCTTAAGTATTTGAAGATGTGGCTACATGACACTTCGGGAACTGGAAACAAATTTTATTTTAAATCTTTGAGGGGAAAAAAGGTCAAAAAACATTCCCCAAATGAACATCTAAGACTCAGAAGCCAATGAAAATCTCCCTTCCAATTTTTTTTTATTATTTTGTATAATGAAATCACGTGGCCTTAAGTCATGCCAGGAGACATTCTGATTGGATATTAGAAAAACTAAGTTGCCCAGGGAGGTAGTAGAGTAACAGTCTCTAGTAGAGTAACCAGAGGTGTCTGGATATGGCACTTAGTAATATGGTTTAGGGGTGATTCTGGTGCTAAATTGATGCTTGGACTAGATGGCCTTGGAGGTGTCTTCCAACCTTAAAGATTCCTTGATTCTGTGATTCTCTGTGATCCTGTGTTTTTTTCAAATGTCCACAGTGTTTGAGGACAGATGTCAACCATGAAGGCTGGATGTTTTGAGCCGGCAGAGGTATACTCAACAGACAATCAATAAAAATCGTACACATGCACTGATGTAGCGATGTGCAGCAGGCCTCATTTCTGCCATCGCCCAAGTAGACCAAGAATGCACTTTGGCATTAGAATGGGAATTTATCTACGTACATATTAAGACTCTGACAACAACCGTGTGTGTGTGTGTGTGTGTGCATGCTTATCTGGATATATTTATTTTCCATAAAACAGGTCCCCAAAACTAAGTAAGAGGTACATAATTTATATTTCTAATGAAGAAACATTATTGTTGAATTAGGAAATCCCAAAATGTTGGGAAAGTATGATGTAGAAATATCTGTACATTTGCGCTATTCTGAAATTCTTTTGGCAATCATATTTAGCCACAGTTAGAGGCATGACACTAAGCTAGCTGGACCTCTGATTTTACAAAATATTTTCATAATTTCTTTGGAAAAATTAAGTCATATAGTGAGCATTGAAACAAATCCAGTCCTTACAGGAGATGGTCTCAGAGCAAAAGTATCACTGCTTGTACATGGATACACCAGCAGAAAAGAATACCAGAAGGACTTGGATCTACTGAATTCAAATTCTTTTTTTAATTGAAGAATGCTGTCATTGTATATCTATACACTGTAATATGTAGGAGAGTGAATGATTTCCTTTTTGCTTCTCCACTTGAGCAGTGTAGCGCAGAGTATTTAGCTCAGATTTTGAGACTGGTTACAGCCATGTTAGATTTTGATTTTCCGAGAATGTTAAAAGGAAAATAGATGAGGTTTTACACGAAGAGGACTATCAGTTATTTCCAGTTCCTTGAGACATTCACAACTTATTTCAGAAGACAGAGAAATAGCTTTCTGTTTAGTACCTTAGTAAATTATTAATTCACATAAGGATTCCAGCTGTCCAGCTGGACCTAGTTTGAGTCACTAGTTATTGTGATCATTTCTGTTTCTATAAGTGGGAGTGATCAGACCATCTCACATATTGGATTCTGGTCTGCAGCACTTTATAGTATATTTCAAAAACTGTATTAAGCTTAGCTCTATAGCTCCCTGACTTTTCTTTGAAGAATATTTGCAGGGATGAAAGAATAGCACAAAAAAGGCTTGTGATAATGGTACTGGCGGCAAATAGTATGGGTAAAGCAGCAGGAAATACTTGTTTCGCCCTCCTGTTTGTGAGACACTGGATTATTATATTAATTATTGGCTCGGACCAACTCAGGTGTGTATAGGGGAGTGGGAGGAACAGGTCAAATCTCACAGAGGTGAGGTGATGCCCTGTCCCACATTCCAGCCCCTGTGAGACTCCTAGGGCAGCCTTGGAGCAGCTGTCAGTCACTGGACATCAGGAGCACAGTCCATACCGCACCCTGGAGCCCCTAACCCAGCCCCAGATTCCAGCACAGCAGAAGTCCCACCTGGGAGCAGGGGGTGTGGCCACAGTGGGGCCAAAGCAGCACCATGTGCTCTCTGTTTGTTTGAACCCTAACACCTGTACACATGGAAGCTGGACTCGCACAGGACTCTCTAGTGGTAGTTATGACTTTTCTCTCTCTCTTTACTTCTCTTAATCTCCTTTCTTAATAGTTTGGGTAATGTGGGACTGAATGAGTCGGATTTTGCTAAGTTGTACAGGTTAGCATGTGCTAAGTCAGTGCTTTGTGGAATGCTTTATTTCAGTTTTATTCAAAAATACTTGATTTTTATTAAAGTGTAGAATTATTCGACAACTATATTCATAAATTCAGAGGTAGAATTGCAAAACTTCTAACACCAAGCAACTAACAACTTTTAAATGTTATTACCTACACTGCTTCTCCATACTTGTTAAATTACTGGAAGACACTGTTAAGGAGTGTAATGTCTGTTACTGGATTATGTGAGGATTTACTTCATGCCTAAATAATACAAATATATTAATCTATAGTGACTTCATTTTTAAAATTTTTTTTTAAATATAGACTGCCTCTTGCAAGAGGAACTGTGGTATTTTACATGTAACATTTATATTTTTCACTCACAGAATTACACTAGCAGTATAAAACTGAAAGCACAATCAATTATACAAGAGTTTACACCCTATTTGTGTCATCAGTGCTCCTTCACAATGTCCAGATAACTATAAAAATTGATTTTTCTTCTTTCTGTAGGCACTTAGACTTCAGGGCTTTTCCCAGTGTAATTTTAAGCTAGTATCAAAGTCAAGCATACATATTTTGAGGTAACTTTTTAATGACTATGAAATGTCAGAGAGAAAAGGTCTAGCTGTTGGCTCCCATGAGGATGACCACTTTCATAAATCACTGAATGTGAGTAATCCAATATTTGATTATGCATAACTTTCTTTGGAGAGCACAATACTATGGCATCTACTACTAATATTTATGCAAACTCAAAAATTATCTTCATGACTGTTTTAATGAGCCAGCTGCCAAAGATTTCACTGTGATGTAATTATGCTCTATTCTGGTTTTGTATTTACTTTTGTATGTATTTCTATATAGTCAGTGATTCATTAACAGATTAAATAGTGAGACAATATTTGTATATTGTATCCATACAGTATGGGCAGGATAAAAGTGAGACAAATGCACTAAAGAGTAGAATTCAGACCCGGATTAACATAAAACTTCAGACTGAAATGAAGTTCAGATGTGTGCTGGAAGCTAAGCTCTGAATAGAGTGTAGTATCTTACCTAAGTGTGCCAAAAATCCCATGGGCTGTCTTAGTAAAGTTTCAGCTCACAACTACATAAAACTCACAAACTCCTAATATTCCACTTTCTTGATTTATTACACCTCTAATTTATATAAACCAGCATCACACTGTAAATTTAAGAGTTACATCAATGTGCACTACTCTGGAAAATGGTATCCCTTTAAGTTTTATATGCAATCAGAAACAAACACAAAAGCAGAATAGAGATTAACTGGTTAAATAGAATTGAAATGCCATTCTGCCCCATTTTCATGTCTTGGAAATGCCCTCTTCCAATATCTGCTTGAGTGTCCTGCCCTTAACAAAGTCCCTGAAATACAGAAACTGAAGTTATAAGACCACCCTCATTTGCATGCTGTAACAGGCCTCAGAAGTTGCCATCACTATTCTGCTTTCAGCAGAAAACACTGGACTATCCTTGTCTCTCCTTCTGTAACATTTTATTTCCATAGGTATGTTATTTAACTTGGTAAAGTGTTTGTTTGGGGCAGTACATGGAATGAAAGACATTATAGAAATTAACATTCTATACTATTGCCTCATACTTCTCTGAATAGATGATATCATTGACACAAATGGCTGAAGAAAAAAGTCATGAGAACTGAGGATGTGTGGGCACTGAAATATTTCAAGAATTGAATAATGTTTTCCTTTCTCTATTTAGTCTGACAGATGACAATGTGTCTTGAACACTTTGGGACAGAATGATGGAGAAGATGAAAAAGCCATTTGAGAAATGCCTTTCTCATTCCAAATGTTTCACTTTGCCTTTCAAGAGTGTTTCCAAGTTGGGCATAATGTTTCTTTTAGTAAGGGCAATGTATAATCCACATAAGGGGTAGCAGTCACAATGCATCCTTCCTGCCCTGCAAACAATGACTACAAGTTTAAACTGGTCTTTGGTAGGAGTGTTCTTCAGGAAATGTTATTTATTGTAACTTCTAATTGTGAATTACAATTATATTTGTAATTGGAGAAGCCTGTGGTTTTTCTTAGCATGAGGAAATTGCTAGCATTTCTAGTATCTAAAAATCTTCAGGCTTCTAGGAAACGTCCAACTTTCTTTAACTGTGCAAACTAGGGCCTCTAGAATATGAAACTCCTCCTTGAGTGAAGACAGGAAGATGCTGCTCACAACAGAGAACAGTTTACCAGTGCAATTTTCTCAAAGCCGGTCTCTTAATTTTGTATAAGTTCGGGAAATAAGAAGATAAACATTCTATCTATATTTATTTATTGCAGCCCTTGTCTTCTCCAGTGCAGACCATGGTCTTCTTGCTGTGAGCAGTGAGAGTACATGGTCCCCTCTGTGCACACAGCTTGGGAGCCCAATGACTGCCTGCAGCACCCCATGCACCAGCTGTCCTCCACAGTCAGCCTGCAAGGCGAGCCAAAGGCAGAAGCTGTGGGTCTTTTTCTCACTCATTGAAGGTACACAGAGCAGCAGCCAAAATGACACACAAAATTGACAGTTTACCAGTTGAAAGTACAGCAGGAGTTCAATCATTAGTGGATTTACTAGTTTCAGATCTCCATCCTATCTACCAAATAGCAACTTGTTTTATATTTTTCTTAGCATTACTGTTCTACCTAAAGATAACACATTATGCTATAACAATGACTTGTGTAATGATGTGTGCAAACTCACAAAGACTTTGGATTAGTGAAAATCTCATATTTTTCAAATATAATATTTGGCTGAGTCACACTGAAACCAATATCTTAGGTTTCTCACAAGCTCAAGAGTACAAACAAATGTTTTTTGAAAACACATTTTCTGTGCTGCCTTTAAGCATCTTCTCTGAGTTTGCAGATGCTGAATGAAATTGGTACTTGTGGTGCCATCAGCTGGCCTAGGCTGACCTAGATAGATGGGTTGCTCTGAAATCTAATAGTCCAGAAAACATTCAGGGATGCCCCATGAGAAGGAATCTGGAAGTCATTGGAAACCTACTAGAGACAGTAGTCTTGATGTCCTCTGGCTATCTGAACTCAAGGACTTTCAGACCTATTATGGCCAATTTTAATGATAATTCCCTGTAGTACCAGCAAATTTTAAGGTTAAGGAATGGAAAATGCTTGAAAAATATGTGAATTTAAATTTCAGAACAAATATATTTTGTCCTCGATAGATAATTTACTATACTGCAAAGAAGGACTTGGGGGTGCTGGTGGATGAGAAGCTGGACATGAGTAAATGGTGTGCACTTGCAGCCCAGAAAGCCATCCTGGGCTGCATTAAAAGAATCCTGACCAGCAGGCCAAGGGAGATGATTCTGCCTCTCTACTCTGCTCTCATGAGACCGCACCTGGAGTGCTGCATCCAACTCTGGATCCTCAGCACAGGAGAGACATGGACCTGTTGGCACAAGTCTAGAGGAGGGCCACAAAAATGATTGGAAAGTTGGTGCACCTCTCCTGTGAGAATAGGCTGAGAGAGTTGGGGCTCTTCGTTGTGGAAAAGAGAAGGCTTCAGGAAGACCTTACTGCAGTCTTTCAATAATAAAAGGGAGGTTATAAGAAAGATAGAAACAGCCTTTAAGCAGGGCTTTTTGCAGTAGGTTTTAAACTAAAAGATGGTAAATTCAGACAAGAAATAAGGAAAAATTTTTTATGAGAGTAATAGGTTGCCCAGAGAAGCTGTGGATGTCCCATTCCTGGAAACATTCAAGGTCAGCTTGGATGGGGTTCACTGCAGAGGCAGTTATACTAGATGACCTTTAAAGGTCCCTTCCAACTCAAAGTATTCTATGATTCTATCCTCTTAGCAGATCTTCCACATCAAAAATGTTACAGAAGACTTGAATTATACAAGTTATTTTAAGAATTCACCTTCAGTTTGGTTAAGACTTTAATTTTGTAATACCCTACAATATATGTCAAGAATGTAACTATTTCACGTTACCATTTTTTTGTTAAAGTGGCAGCACAGTGTTTGCAAGAGTTACATGGAAAGGCAGATCACCTTGCTTGAGATATGTCTGTAAAAACAGCTGGTTTTCCTTTGCAGTGCAACATGAAATAGGGACTGACTGAGTCAAGTTATAGAAATTTTCCTCTCTAATAAAATTGAGGTTAGACATGGAAAATTATCACTTGAATAAATGAGAGCTTGGAGCTTAATAGAAGTATTTCAGAGAACTCAGGGAAATTGCCTATCCTCTTCCTGAAGACAAGAGACTAAAAATAAAATAATATAAATGTATTTTCTTATGACCCAATTTGTAATGGTTTTAAATTGTTTAAAAATGCATGGGTAAATCTTATTTTTAAACAAAGACATTTCTAAAAACTTTAGATGGTTACAATCTTTTAGACACAATTGTTACTTGTTATATGTGATCAGTTTGAAGTAGACTATACTTTGTTTTGATATGACCATATACATTTCTGACATCTTAAAAGCAATGATTACATTCATTGTCTCTAACATTTCAACAGCATTAACAGTTTTTATAAGAAATACAATATTTTTATTTAAGGGACGTTTTGTCCCCAAAAAGGAAATTGTTTGCTTTAAGGCAGAGACTTATAAAACAGTAAATCTAACACTTTGTTTTCCTTTCTGATTCTCTGGCTCCACAACAAGAAGACATGAAAGGACTGTCCCCCGGAACAGGGGAGTCCCTACCTACAGCTTGTGCTGGAGTGGTGGCACAGGCCTGCCCTGTAGATCCAAAAAACCTTTTCCAAACTTCCAACTCTGTAAGTCTTGGCTCCACAGTAGCAGCCTGAGACCCTTTCCAACAGGGTAGTGAAGCTCAGGCAGGCTGCAGACCTGGAGCACACAGCCCTACCCTGGAAATGTTCCTGCAGCTACCTAACCCAGAGCTGCAGATGCCGCCTGGCAGCGTTACATCTGGCCAGGTTCAGAATCCAGGTCAGGCTCAAATTCTCTGAAAGTTTGTTAAAACTGAGACATTTTGGACAAGACGTTCAAGACTCAACAAAAAGGCATTTTTAAAGTAAATTCTTTAACTGTACAATTCATAACAAATACCAACTCTGAGTTAACTCATTAAATAAACAGCAAAGCATTGAATTTTGGCTGCCTTCAGTACCTCTAGTCTCTAGCTCTAAGGAAGGTATCAGTCCTCTAGTGAGAGGTTAATTAAGCCTCTTGTTTCTGTTGATACTGTCACTAATAGGTATTATTCCACACAAAAGCCTCTGACACAGGAAAATAATTATTCCCATTTTGAAGCCAAAATATAAAACACTATCTGTAACTGACATGGTTGGTACAGGATATCCGTGGATGCACCAGGACATTAACCTGATTTTTGAAGTTCCTATTCCAATCTGCTTCACTGACCTTAGAGCTTCTGTTTCCATCTTTTTTTGCCCTTACTGCAGCAGTACAGTCTCAATGCTACATTTTTGTCTTTCAGCTGCATCTATTTAATTATGAGTCAGTATCCCAAAAGAAGAACAAAGTGATTAGACTTCCATGTGAATTTTCAGGATCTTTGTCTGGTTATAGATATATGAATGAAAATAATGTATGAGCATATAAATAGAAAATTAAAGCTTTATTGTGGCTTCTTTGAAAGTCTGGAATGCGTCTCAGAAGACAGAAAAGGAAACTGGAAAAAAGGCTTTGTTTCAGCTGATAAATGTCTGTTCTCTCAAGTTTAAAATCCATGGCAGAAAAGGTGAATGAAACAAGCCCACCAGCAGTGGCTAAAGCTATTACCTTAATTTTTATTTTGAGCATAAGAATACTTTTTTAAAAATTAAAAAATTAGTTGTAAAGATATTTAATTAATTGGGATATAGATCAAAATAGCTAAGATTTGAGTATTAAATGCTGAATTATTCTGAGAGTAAACATGATATTTGACATTACTATTTTGCCAGAAACATTACAGTTTTTTCTTTTGTTAGCTGAATGTGGATTTTGAAATAGAATCACTTCCTACAGAGCTGCTTTTGAGGGTCAGAAAGATCCAAACTACAGCCTCAGACCATCTTCTTCTTGCATTACAGAGTGATTTCCCAGCAGATGAAGAGGGACTTTCCAGACCTGTTTTCTGTGTCATCAGCAGTATCTCCAAAACCTAGAAAAGTTTATTCTCGTTCTAAGTTTGAGAGTAAAGAGGATATCCAGGGAAGATAAAAAGCCAAAGTGCTGAAACAATGGTGGAGTATTTCCTGGTAAGATGAAGAAATGGGGTGAGGGGAGCATGTGGTGGGTGGGATCTGACATGGTTTTGTAGGTATTTGCACTTTAGTAGTTCACTACAAGTTTAATTCCCTATTTAATTCACCCAAAGTCCTCTGGGGAGGTAAGCACCTAGTTGCCATATGTGTAGGGTGGTGGGTTTTATGGAGCTTCAGTACTATCTCGCCTCAGTGACCCTCACTGCTCCACTTGCCTGTACTGCAGATAGGACATTCAGAAGCAGAACCTTTTGTTCTAGAAGAGGAAGGGCTACAGCAAATCCTAATCCTTTGTTTTTGGCATCACAAGAGTATCCACAGCAACTAAATGTGATGAGATACAGAAAGGAATGTGACTTCAAGTGCCAGCAGCTGGTGAATGCCTGAGGAGCAAAAATCCTGTTGTCATGTGGATACCCCCAGCAGTGGCATATGCACGAAGCAAACATACACACATCTGAAATATGAACAGGAAAAGGTGGTTTTCTGGCAAGAGTCATTTCTGCCTCAGGATACACTTTAGTCACCACAACAAAACACTGAGAGGGATGAAGCAACCCCAAGATGGCAACAAAGTTCCCAAAGCACCTCAGTCAATCACTGGCTGGCTATTAGTTTAAAAGGTCAGTGGCAAATATCAGTAACTACATCGATTTTCTCCATTTCCCACTCTGTTTTCAGAGTTGACTTATTATCTGTGTTGAATAAACAATACAGATGAGAAAACCAAGGATAAACCCAAAGTCTGGAGAGAGCAGTAAACTGCTTAGAAGTTGGCCCTAGAACTTTGGATTTGGGAAAGTTCTTTTCCCAGACTCACCTCAGATTTGATTTAAGAGCATGACAAAGACCTTTTTGTTGTGTCTCTACAATACCTAACACAATGGGGCCCTGATCCATGACTGGAGCCTCTAGGCATTGCCACAGTGCAAACAAATAACAATAGCTAGCAGCCAAAGACATTGCTGAGAATTGCTTAGTAGGCAAACAAGCTTCTTATAGAAGTGTGTGCTCTGAGCATTTGCTCAGTTCACACAGCCTGGGGTTTCAGAACGTTCTTTGTTGAAAAAGCAACCATTGGAAATATCCTCTTGACCCTGAATCGGGGCCAAGAAGACAGAAGATATTAGACCCACTTCTCTCCATGTCTTACAGCACTGAAACAGACTTCCAGGACATGAGTTTGGTGTATGTTTGACCAAGGACTGCTCCAATAATGTCACAACAATTATGTAAAACACCTATGCTTTGAGTAAATACATAGTAAGAAATCTTTACTCACCTATGTAATGCATAAAGAGGACTGAAAAAAATCTGCTGGTTCAGGCATTGGGCTGGTACACTTGTACCTGTTTCCTGGCTCTGGCACGGATATTTGTATGCCCTTTGGCAATTCACGTCACATATCTTTCTTTTCCTCCTTAAAACAAAAGTAAAACAAGAATACTTTTCCTGCCTCACAGGCATCATGAAGATCACCAAGCCTTCTTACACAGTCAGATGCTGTGCAATGAGGCCAAGGAGATACCTGGAAACTTAGACAAGTCTATCTCTGAATTTGGAGTGAGGACTCAAGTTGAAGCCATACAGAAAATAATTCTCAGGTTGCATTGCTTCCACTGCATTTTTCCTCCTAAATATGGATGGGTCTGGCTTCAAAAGTATTACACTATTTCAGTAATTCCCCAGCTCCACTGATTTTTTACTTTCTTCAATAGTTAAAAGACAGGGTCAGTTTTAATGTGTACAGATTGTGTGAAAGCTGAGCAATAATCTTGGCTTTTGAAAAATACAGCTGTCTTTCTGTGTCTAGGTCCCTGCCCACAGGGAGAATATCCAACATGCATTTTCCAGATCATTAGATATATTACACACCAAGTCTAACGCAAGGTTTTTTTAGTTAAATCATATCAGTAGAGCCCCTTTCTGGAGTGCCTTTGCTACTGGGTATTAGTCAACCCAGACAGGGTAGGGCTGCACTCTCGTTCTTGCACTTCAGTTTT